ATTCAACAATATTTTTGTAAAGTTATCTTGAGATGCAGACATTAATTGTTCAGTAAATAAATAAAATTTGTTATTTGTTATAAACTAATGGTGAATCTTAATGAAACTTTGCATAAGTCATGTTTAGTACTTAATATATTTATATAAAAACATTTAGATTTGTCTTATTATTAACAATTTTTCTTTATAACAATAAAACTAATAACAAAATAACTAATAATAAAATAAATAACCTATAAAAATATGTTGCTCAATAAAACCAGAATGTTATGAACACAACTTTCACATGTATGTAGTTTGTTTAAAGCGAAAATATTAATATATTTTATGCCCTTACAACCTCCTTACAACCTCCTGGCCTTTTTAATTCCGGACTAGAGCATCTGCATGTGGAGAAAATTGCAAGTATACGAATTCATTATTCGAGATTGAATTGAATATTACATTTAATGGAAAAATAGAATTAGGTACTACATAATTACAGGGTTGGGAAGTAACGTCGTTTTCGTTACTATTTTCGGTAACTTTTTTTCGTTATTTCTTTCTGTTTGTAATAGGAATATCGGGCAGCCTATCCGGCCGCTTTTTTACAATCCGGTCATTCAGCCAGATAGTTCGACTATCGAGAAAAAAATCATTTTTCACAATTTGGATAAATAATTTTAGACTGCGTTCCGTTATTCATTGCAAGTACTGAAAATCTGAAGTGTATGTAACATGAATTACAGATTTCTAGTATTTACATTGTATAGTAAATTACGGAATATAGTCTTGATCAACTAATCACTTACGTGATTTTCTCTATAATTGCCTAAAATAATTCTTCTTTGCTCTGAGTCACGCGAGTCAGTTGGCGTCTCTCTTTATAATGTAGGCTATCTAATCAGTATTGTACGTCAGTCAGTACTGCACGATTCTCCTCTATATATTAAGTAAATAAAAAATTATTATATTATATAAGATTTAAATTTGAACTTTACTCCAAATTTTTTAAAGCACTATTTAGTTCTACTGGATTACTAACTCGTAAGATATTTAACTTTAGATAAATTTAATATAGATATAACATTGCTGATTCTCAATACATAGAAAATATATAGAATAGATTTTTATTAAATTTATTATGAATAATTAGTTTTATTAAAAGTCAATAACAAAATATTAAAAAATCATTTAATACATATAAGTTATCACATTTTTGTAGCATGTTTATAATGATTTTTATTCAAAAATCTTCTTTGTTACTATAAAAAAAAAAACAATTAAATTTTTTATTTTTCAATCTTTTTGTGCAATTGCCGAGTAAAATCCATTTATTACAGCTTATCGGGCTTTGTCGGATAAAATCCATTTATCTAGTAGAAATAAATGACGAATTATCCAGTATTTGATTTTTCGACAAATTGTTATCTGTTGCATTCCTACTTATATGAGATTAGTCATGTCTTGAATACTCACTTTGCATTAGTGAGAATTGGTAATACACTTTGCCAAAGTTGATCAGTAATGTGCGGCATGCCTGACAGCGCGAGGCCATACAGCTGATGGCCGTGCCTCGACAGGAACTTGTGCAGGGCGTCGTCGCTCAAATTATCGGATCTATCTAAGTCCAGTGCTATCAAGTTCCGTGTATTTCCAAGCTCAGTCCAGGCCTTCAGCACGTTATCATTAAAGTTGTTTAATTGACCGGCGCTCAGAAAACGCAGTCCGGGGATTCTGCTCAACATATCAATTAGGCATTCCGTTGATAGATCTGTAGCAGTAATGTCGAGCTCCTGAATGCTCGACTTTTCCCATTCAACTTGCATTACATATTCGCTCTGCAGATCTAAAATATTGTATGACATTATTAATTATTTCTTTAAAATCTGATAAAAAAATTACATTTTTATTCGAGTTGCGTAGAAGGTAGCAGACATTTTTTTATTAATTTTCTAACTTATAATTTAGACAATTTAATTTATTTAATTTATTTAAACAAAAATTTGTAAAGTGACAGATTAAAAAAATTTTAAGTAAATAAAACTTTTTTCAAAAATAGCAGATAAATCAAGACGATCATAGATATAATCGTATCTTACTTGTTCCTTGCATAAGAAGACACGTCAGTCTTCTACTCCTTTGAAAGAGAGTTTTCATGGTCGAACCAGTCACTTTGGAACAATAATTCACC